CTAGAATTCGTATATATATATATATATATATATATGAGTGATTTTACTTTGCTTCTGTTCTGCCTGAGAAAATTTTCTTTACTATTTCCCTTCTAGTTTTTTAGAGTTGCTAATAATCTGACACTGATCAAATCACAACTTGTAATTGTTTTATCATTAATTCTATTTTTAGTTCATTCTTTTTCAATATCAACATCCATATTTAATGTTCATATATTTTCCCAAACAATTTCTTGCTTTATGTAACGCAACAGCCTATTTATCTAAAGAAATATACAACTTCCAGGTAATATTAGTTAGACTAAGTCATAAAAACTTTGCTTAATCTTAATTTGGCCTCTTGGCAGATTCTTAACACTTCGCCAATTTAAATTTTGCTAAGCAAGAGATTACTGCTACAATACCTATCTAGATTTGCTAATTTAGGTTTCTGTTGTTCTTGTGCTAAAGTACTCCAACTGCAAATAATGAGAAGTCAGCCATAAAGTAATTTGAATATAAAATTGTAACTAAGATATCTAATTCTAAAGCTAGTTAAGTTTCACGAATACAGATTATGTTTGCTATAAGCTAATGCAGTTTGTTAAGGGGACTTTCATTTCGTATGGAAGTGAATGAAGAAGAGATTCGTTGGTCGATCTCACCAGATGAGGATGGATGAATCTCATTGTACTGCAGATTCCTCCCTCATTTCGGAAAACGTGCTGAGCTTTCGTCCATCATATGATGGACATCATCAGAGCTGGGTGTCATTCTTGTAAAAGTCTCATGTTTACGCTAAAGCAAGAACACTATCCGGCTCTATCTTGCTTCTTATATAAACTCAATTAAGCAAAAAGTAAATTAAAAACCGAGATAGATTTAGACTAGCTTGTCTAATTATCTTTTATACTGGTCCTGCTACTTTTGCTCGATTGTATGAGTATGTGTCTTCCTAAAAATATTATCTCAAGAGATTCATCGAAACCCAGGTTCTCTGCATATCTATAATGAATTTTAATTTAGTTTAAGGCGTTTATCAGAGATTCATCATAAATGTTCCTCAGTTTAATCAAGAGTGAGCAACGTATTTAAGACCTTTTAAATGGGTATGCTTGACATGACGACTGATATTGATCTAGACCTCAATAATGTAACTTGGAATTGGTCATTTTGTGAGAAATGTCCATTTTAGCTGCATCCTTTTAGCTCTAAGCAAAGGCAGCTTAATAACTTGCCCTCCACTTAAAAATTTACCATTTTCAGTCAGTTGGATTAAGGAATCTTGGATAATGCTCGTTAACTAGTCCTTAGGTTGCCACAATAAACAGTTCAATTTGATAAACAACATTCTTGCAAATTTAACCCCATAATTTGAAGGAGTCATCAACAAACAAGTTCATTTGAGGAAAAAAACAGAACAAAAATCGGGGAATTTGAGTATTCTACGACTTAAGATTAATGTTGGTAACTTGATTGGCACTTCTTGGGGCTGCTTTGTCGCTTTTTGGATTTAAAAATTCTGGCAGGCTTGTTACCTTATTCAATCTATACTTATTCCTATTGACATGTTTCACACATGAAAGTTGTGTTGTTGAAAGTTCGGGTATCCTAAAGCGACTACTGACTGATGAGTGCATATGATCCGTAAGTCTGCAGACTTGGCCAGATATCCTTGCATGCAACTCAAGCAAATGGGTCAAATATTATGAGCAATAACTTTAAAAAATTGATAAAAATGTAGATTTAACAATAAATCCGTTCAAACATCATTGCCCATCCTCAAGTGGGCTAGGTTATAAGATTGCTTATACCTCATTCGGTCTAAAAACGATGCTACAAACCAGAAACGAATAGGAGATTATACTCATATTTGATTTATTTTTAAACATTTCATCGGTCATAGCGAAAATAGGCATGATACTATAGTCCACATGAATCGCAAAAGAGCTTTAGATCGGTAGTTAATACTGACCGCCATTTTCTATTATTTATAGGTGGCCTCTGTTATGGTCGCAGCCTCCTTTCGATTTATAGAAATGGGATGACCTCGTTGTCGCAATTTGGTCTTGTTGTCAGGGAGACTATGTAGAACGCATCTAGTCCGAAGTCGTCTGTCATAGTAGTTGTCATTATTCCCAGCATCTGACAGCGGACTTAAAACATTCTCAAACGTTTCGTCGGCATCATCACTATGGCAGACGACTTCGGAGTAGGTGTGTTCTATATAGTCTCCCTGACCACAAAACCAAGTTGCGACAACGAGGTCAACCCACTTCTGATATATATGCTTTTATTAAAACATTGCCTTATTTCCCTTCATAATAAACATAATGCAAGCTTCGCATGTATTTTATGTTGGATTGTGCCAGGATTCTCCCAAGTTCATGCTTCTGTGGTGACCGATGAAGTAACCTACGACGGACAGATTATAGACTGCAATTCGGGCCTCAGTATGCTGTCCAGCACACGATGGAATTTTCTCAACGGAGTGCCCATGAACAGCGTGGGTTCGTCTCTAAGAATTGTTTTGCCCACTGAGCCCTCAGCATCTGGTTCGACAAGGTACTCAATGCTCACCTGTAACTCGGTATTTCGATATGGGACAGTCACGAGCATTGATTTAAAATATTATCTCGCCGGTAAGTTAATATATTAAAATTATTGTGGATCTGAAAAAGAATTAAAATTACTGTTAAAAGCTGTGGGCTTTATGCTACTTGTTTAAAATGAGTCAGGCACTATTCGTAGTATTCATAAAAGACGTCTTCTTCACTCACTTCTATCTGTCAACAATATTTGGCTCCGGTAAAGTGACAGCGCCGGAAAAAAATTTTATAATTTATTTCTTAACATCACTGGATTATGAATCACTTCCTGATAGAAAGAATGCCAAATTAGGGAACCAATTATCTCTTTCATATGATTATAATGGGGTGAGGCCGCAAATATTATTTGTTTAAACTTACGTAGTTAAAGTTGGCTTCATATGATACGCCATTAGAATCTATTTTCGGGTTGGAACTTCAATGAAGCCACCTCCGCTACAAAGCGAATTGTGGTTTACTGAATGGAATAGACTTAACCAATAAAATATTACAAACGTAAGCAGAAGCAAAATGTTCAAAGCAAAGAAAAGAGCCCTACCTTTAAAACCCTCCTGTTTTCATAGATAATATGGATTATTTTGAGCATCCTTTGAAATTTATGATTATACTTCAGGATAATTAGAGATTTAAAAATAAAAGTCCCCCAAAAGAATGTGAAATACTGCAATTCTTTTGTATTTTGTTTAAAATCTGATAGTTAACAAAGGCTTCAGAATGCAGTTAAGCCGTTTAAAGTCATATATTTTACTTAGTATAAAGAAATTAATGGGTGTGACGTTTAAGAAAAACTATAATGTAATTAACGAAACTGGCCTAGGTCCCAAATAATCCAAAGTATTTATATGGAATTGCTCCAAATGTTAAATACTCGCTTAAGGAACCAGTCAAGAGGCATAATTTCCACCATACTTTTTCGATAAATAGCTCATGCTCTGGTAAAATTATATATATATATATATGTATGTGTGTATATATATAAGTATAATGTGATAATGGGTTAATTTTCGTTTATGCATTAGGTCAAAGCGCCTTTACTTTATCTAACAGAGACTGATATCGGACTTACCCATTATGTGAGTGGATTTCCCAATAAGAATGAAGGGAAATTTTAATTTTATCCGTCTCTAATTTAAATACATGGTTTATGGGTTAAAAATAAGACACTTAATCTCCTGAGACGTATGGACTCAGCGTAGGTTACATGAATAAGTCGGGTTCCCATTGCTCTGAAATTGACCTCTACCTTGTAATTAAATTACATTGGGCTGTATCTTTTATGATGGACATGCCTCTAATGCGCTACCGATGCGACCTAAGCGAGTGAGAGACGGAAATCCGACGTGTATTAAAGTGCAATTATTGAGATTTAGTTGGAATAAATTCACTAATAAAAGTCCTTGCATCGCTTCACCCTTTAGTGGGCAGATGAGGCAAATAAGGCCAACTTTTAACAATTGTTAAACTTAAATCCAGAAACTGAATTTCTAATTTAGCATTTCTGGTGATGATTTTTTGATGGCTGAGCTGAAAAAAAGATAATTTGGTTTGGTTTCCGAAAATTTTGGAATTGTGGCATATCAGAAACTGCTAATTGCTAAAGAAATTAAACTATTAGTGTACAGACAAATATGACAGTAGTATTAATATAATGTTACAAAACATAGCAAGTTCAATATCTCACATTTGATTGTGCAATATATGGTATGATAGCTACTTGGTTACTTTAAGAGATCTTTCAAAGATAATGCATCTTGTTAGTGGCCTTCCTTAAGTTTTGGAATTCTACAATTTTGATGCTAACCTAGTTGCCATAATATCTCTCTCAGGTATAGTTAATGTGGAGGCCAATGGTTCCCTCTGTTCTTGTAGGAATTCCACCTATGTTTACATAGCAACCATAATTTAATACCAAACGGCCTTTACTTGGGTATGCTAGAGTACTGCCTTACTTTAGCTGGAAAATTCAAATTGAAATGGATCTTAGAAACTTTTCTCGAAACAACTTCTCAAATTGGTTTGTTAGGTGAGTTACCAGCCGCCTTTAATTACAGACCACCACAGAATTTTTAAAGTTTATGATACCTTGCTTTGTTTATTCACGTGAAAATAATAGATTTATTTTAGTTCAATTAGCGTTTGCACTAGCATTGGCAATTTAACATTATCTATATTAATGTTCCTTGAATAAATAGCTTAAATTTTATCTTCCAAAAGACTTTATTGACTCGCTTCATAGGGCAAAGCTGAATTGAGTGTTAAAAAGAGTTATTAAATAATTATTTTACCCTATTTTAGACTTACATGTAATCCGTTAAACTAAGAAGTCATATATTTAGTAAAAAATATCCATTTAACTGCAAATGCAAAAAAGCCATAAGATGTGGTTTCATAGAAAACTGGTCGAATTTTGTGAATGCATGCAAACAAGTAGAATCCATAATTCTGCAAATATGTATTCCTCAAGCCTAATTAATCCTCTTTCTTACCTTTGCGTTTCTTTTCTCTCCTATTCTATTCAGAGGACTACTATCAAGTAGTTTTTCCCGAAAAAGACTCCTATGCACCTGGTGAGATTGTAGAGTGCCTCCTGTTCGCCTCAACATTCAGTGACATCGATAAGGCCACTAGAGTTACCCAAGGCCTTGGCATGCGTGTTGTTACAACGGACACTCAGAACAACAAACACCTCCTTCTCAGACCGCGACTATCAGCAATAATTCTGCCAGATGTACCATTAGGAGTTAAAAGCTATCAAATCAACTGTGTGATAAACAATGACATCA